AATTCCAAGCCATTTTTTATTACACCACTTGCACATGTAAGCTTACAGCACCTAGTATTCACAAGCGATCACCCATGTAGGTACTGACCAGCCTCGATGTTTCTTAACTTCATATATACGAGGTCCACACGATCTAAGGCGAACTTAAGAGGCAATAGACGTTTAGACATGGATCCTCATTGAAAGTACAATCGTTTATCATAACTGGAAAGAACTCGGGTTCTGCTCTCTGATGATGAAATATTAGTTTTAGAGGCACTGAATATTACAAGCCTGTCATTCCTGAATTGAGATGAAAAATACAGATTACAATATCAAATCTGATAAATACAGACAATATACGATTACAACTCCTATTACGTGTTTTTTTTACAGCTAGGGTCCATTCTAATATACATTAATTTCTTAACTTACCTTTTATTAGATTTTCCAATTTCCCCTTTCTAATAAAAATGTTTATCCAGGCTTTTCCGATAGTTTATTTTTTCTTTCCCACTTTACTAGAGTTTGCTCTTTTTTTTCTCCATTTAACCTTTTTAGTATAAATCTCGAATCAAAAACCTCTTTCTAATTACCAAGGGAGTAATAAGCCATTTTCAGTCGAGCTTAAAAGGATTTATCGTCCATAACACACGATTCGCTAATCTCCTGTCGATAGCTGTGACATCTCACACGACACAGTCACTTTCACACTAAATGATGCATGCGCATAGTAAAACAATACACCTGCTTTATCCGCACTAAACAAAGAAAAACAATTTAATATCCTTTCTAAGGACCCACGCAGCAAAACTGTTATTATTCGAGACATCGCTATTGATATTAGCATCATTCTTAGCGTTTCCATTAACTTGCAAAAAATCAGTAGCAACAACAACAATAATAATAATAATAATGTTTTCTCTTCCTTTTTTTATTTTTCAAAAAATGTACAATGGAAAATTTCATGATGCCATTTTTGACGGTAGGTCTCTAGTTGGGACCCGGTAGGAAATGAGTTTACAACAAAACCAGAGATCAAAGGTAATAATAATAATAATAATAATAATAATAATAATTGTAATACATAATAGTGCTTTATTTTTTTAAATGGTGTGATCTTTGTTTATTTATTTTTTTTTTACGAAAATGATCAGTGAAAATATCATGAAAAACATTTCTGACCTTAAGTCTCTGGTTAAGAACAGTGTGTATACAAAATTTAAATAATTTTTAATAAATGGTAATAATAATAGGCCGGACATTATTGTCAAAAACCAGAAAGAAAAAACTCTTTGTTTATTTGTCCAGCGGATTGTTTTTTGAAAACTATCAAAATACAAAAGACCTGGAAATTGAAATCAGTGAAAAAAATCAAGAATAATACCAGTTTCTGACAAAACAACACATTGAAAGAATCCCTGGAAACCCCAGCTTAAGAGACATACAGAAAATTGTCTTATTAAGTACAGCACACAAGAACTTTGTCTATGTAACGCTAGCAACTTCAAAGATAAAAAAAAAAAAAAAAAAAAATTAACAAAATGTGGCCAAATAACACACCATAATAACTTGGTATAATGTCCAATAAAATCGAATGATGATGATGATGACATTAATAATAATAATAATGTTTTGTCTTCCTTTTTATTTTTCCAAAATGCACAACGGAAAATTCCATAATGCCATTTCTGGCTGTAGTTTTCCGGTAGGAAATGTGTCCGCAACAAAACCAGAAATCAAAGGTTACAACAATAATAATAATAATAATAATAATAATAATAATAATAATAATAATAATAATAAAATTTTACAGCTCACATATTACGCGGTGCTTTATTCTTTTTTAAATGGTGTAAATTTGTTGTTTTTTGGGGGTTTTGTTTTTACAAAAATGATCAATGGAAAATATCATGAAACCACTTTTGACCTCTGATCTCTTTTGACCTTAGATCTCTGGCTGGGACCCAGCAGCAGATGTGTATACAACAGTAATCAAAGGAAATAATAATAATAATAATAAGTTTCAAATGGGTGCAAAAATACAAGTAAAGCACAATACACCGACTGAAGTTGCAAAATAGTTAAAAAAAGAAAGCAAATGCATATCCATCCGACCAGATACAGAATCGATAGCAAGATAAACCGCTTCACAGTTAATCCCCAGCCCTTTAACATCCATCAGTGACTACGATGCGCAGTGATAATAGCTGAAATCAAAACTGTTATTCTTGCTGCCTTGGACCAATGTTTGTAAACTAGAAATTATCAGACACACATACTAAAAATTGTGTTGGTCCAAAATACAGATTCTGTGACAACAATTGAACATCTTGTATCAAATTGCACGGTATTGGCACGCACTCAATATAAAATACAGCATGACAGTTTGGGCCAGTATCTGCACTGGAAAATCTGCAATTTCTACGGAAAAAAACCTTTAAAAAAATGGTATGAACACCACCTAGCCCCGGTTACGGACCTGTAAAAACATTATGGGACCTCACAATACACAGAGACAGAAGAATCAAAGCTAATCCCCCAGACATCGTTATTAGAGACCCGCAAACAGAAAGTGCCTCCTTATTGATATTGCAGTCTCTGCAGACTGCAATGTATCTTTGAAGATATTCAAAAAGCTATCAAAATACAAAGACCTTGAAATCGAAATCTCAAAAATGTGGCACATGAGAACATCGACAATTTCAGTTGTAGTTGGAGCCCTCGGATTGATTGGAAAAGATTCTAATAGACTCATTGAAAGGGATCTTTGGTGTCCCATGCCTTTAAGAAATACAAAAAATGTTCGAAAGTGTATATAGTCCACACCTTACGAAGGTCTTTATCTATGTAAAATATGTGTTTTTTTATTATTTTTTTTGTTTTTTGGAGTTTTTTAATTACACATTTCTGATCTTAGGTCTGTGGTCGGACCCGCTAAGAAATGAATACACTCCAGAAATCAAAGGAAATAAAATAATAATAATAATAATAATAATAATAATAATAATAATAATAAGAAAAGTGTTATCAATTAAATAACAATTATCCTATAGGGGCTAAGAACTATAGTTTGGATCTAGTTCTACTTGATACAAAGCAGGAAACATGACATACACCAATAATAATAATATAAAAGAAACTTCATTATAATTAGCAAGATGTGTCGTAGATCCTAGGAACATCTAATATACAAAAGAAAGTGCTATCAATTAAATGACAATTATCCAATAGGTCCTAATAGGTTAAACTCTGCTCTACAAGATACAATGCAGAAAACAGCGTAGACAAATTATAATAATGATAATAGTTAAATTTGTTGCATGTGGGCAGCGATTATCAAAGGCCTTCGTGCGACGATATGATTCTACAGCTGCAGTAAGGTCAATAATGGTATACCGTGTCATTAGGCGGAAGAGTTTTGCTAAAATCCGTTTTTAGGAATTATTGATTGAGTCATAACAATTAAATAAAAATGTAACCCCTGGCAAGAATGACACTCAATAAAACTAGTTCGCTAGATTCCTACTTTTGCATGTGCTATATATGTCAAAGGGTAACTAATTTTTCATTAATTCACCACTCTACTAAATTAACGTAAAGAATTTAACGCAGAGACCAAGAAAGATTAGCATAACAAATAGAGCCAGCGATTCTCAGGGCAATGTGTACATAATTTGGATTTGTTTCCACCTGTTACTCTGACGACTGAACATATCATTTGTCTTTTTTTTCTATTCTTTTTTGTTGCTTATATCGACATTGCGAAGTGGAGAATTATGTATAAGGTTGAGTCAAAAGTTTTTTTTTTTATTTTTGGAAATCAACTGCAATGGGGAATATATCATTCTTACTACTGATCATACGTGGCAGTTAAGAATGAATTTGGAGTGCACTAACATGTCTTAATCTTTGAACAACAGTAAAAACAAAAAAAGTTGCCTTAACTACTGGTGTCTAGTTCCCGTACAGGAGGACATTCAGAATCCTCCCATCTGGCATATATTGAACATGTCTAAGCTAGCATAGCCGGCGCTGTCGGAGAAGAGTGTCGCCTCTAAGTGCTGTGCTGACTTCAATGTTCACTATATATATTTACGCTGAAGCAAAGGTAACACTGTAAAGAATAAAAAATATTGAGAAATTAAAACAAATCTAATTAATCTTTGAACAACAGTAGCAGCATACACTACATATTAAAGGAAAAATGTTCTCCATGGCAACGAAAGTCTGCAGACAGCAGGAATAACTAAAGAAGATTTTTAGACCGATTGATCTGTTCTAACAGACCCCACCATATTCAATTGTCCTACACCAGCCGATTCTTACCTTTTTTTTACGATCACTGCAAAACGCTTCCAATAGGTAAACATTCTTTTACGAGCCCGTCCTAAACGTTTTCCCATAAAAATCTGCGGAACCTTACTCAAAAGATATCGAAGAGCTGCCTGATAAGTGGCAACAAGTCATTTCAAATAATAGTAAACGTAGAATTAAATAAAGTATAATTGTAACGTATGTCTTGAAGAATAAATCTGATAAACAAAAACAAAAAATATTTATGAATCAATTTGTGTGTGGCATCCGTCTGTCTCGAGAAAACTTGGATCTGCGCCAAAAGAGTCATGTTAATGGCGGTGTCCCATCTGTTATGGCTGTACAGGCCTACACGGGAGTGACAGTCTCGATTACAATGAATACGCTCTCCCCTGATGTCACCTGTTTTTTTTTTCCCAGCGGAGTAAACACTTCGTTTATCTTCTACTCGCTCCAGCCATCGGTGTAAATCGCTTCTCCATTGGCGATGTCTTCCCACCTATCGATGTCTATGTCTATTGCCCCCATAATCCCTTTTGAAGACGTCATTGAAGCGAAGATGAGGTTGCCCTTTTACTGGTGTCTAGTTCCCGTATAGAAGGACATTCAGAATCCTCCCATCTGGCTTATATTGAATATGTCTAAGCTAGCATAGCCGGCGCTGTCGGAGAAGACTGTCGCCTCTGAGTGCTGTGCTGACTTCAATGTTCACTTTTTTATATATATCTATATCTATATCTATCTATCTATCTATCTATCTATCTATCTATCTATCTATCTATCTATCTATCTATATATATATATATATATATATATATATATACGCTAAAGCAAAAGTAAGAATACACTGTAAAGAATAAAAAAGATTGAGAAATTAAAACAAAAGTAGTCACGGTTACATACATTTAGCTGTGTTTACATGATCGAGTTTTGACAAAATGTAAAGGATTGTGGCGAGAATGTGATATTTAATGCCATAGAGTTTGAGTTGAATAATCTTATACCCAATTAGAAAATTAAAAACAAAATATTACATACTCAAAAAGAAAAACATTAATTAGTTTATAACATAGTCTCCGTTGTTTTTAACAATTGCCTCGCATACTTCTAAAAACTTGTTTAAGGCATTTTTGTAGAAACTTCGTATTTATTATTGGAAGACGGCTGCGAGGCAGACTGTAAAGAGACTACTTTTTGTCATTTAAATGTTTCTATAGAGAGCAGAATAAATGTAAATCGGAAGGAGCCAAGTCAAATGAATACGGAGTGTGCAAGAAGGAAAATGAAATCTTTTCAATTTGCCGAAATCGGCTGTTTTTCTTCAACACAAGTCTCTTCAAATGGTGAAAGGCAGTTGAGATATCGATTTACAAAACCTTGCGACTTCTTCCGTCGAAATATTCAGAAGGACAGCGTCTTCAACGACGTCAGACGTTTGTCCGGAGCGTGGTTGACCGTTTCGTTTAAAATCACTCTGACGAAATCCGCTAAACACCTTTTTGACCGTCCGAAGATCTGGAGTACGATCCATATACACCGTCTAAATGTTTTCTTTTTCATAGTTCCGATGTGAGCGTAGTATGGCAAAAGTGCACTTTTTCATTTGTCGACAAAACCTCAACTTTCAACAAAATCTGACTCGCAACCAAACGATAAACGTTTTCAATCTAGAACACACCAGAAAACGTCACAGAAAAAGGCATTGTCGATACTATATAGAGCAGGAACTAGATATGATATAATAAGCAGAGAAAATGGACTCGTAGAAAAACATAACCATTCAATACCGAGTAGGGACTGACAAATTTATGTACTAAACAATTAAAAACATACCTGTTTATTTTTATTTCTTTTATAATGTTACTGGATATTTTATCAAATAATATCCCTTTTATAATATAATATAACCTTATGCCTTTTTACATTAGAACATTCTGATTGTCATCATTCGGTATTGGTAGATGCAAACGTCATTTCTATTCGAATAATTTATTTCCTGTCACTCCAAGCCAATGGAATTCCCTTCCAAATTTTGCTTCTATGCCATGTACAATCTTCATGAATTTAAATTCACCGTCAATCGCCATCGTCTGTCTTCCTGTACGCCTTTCTTTTAATGTCCTTTCCTCGCTTATTGGTACTCTCACCTTACTCGAGATGTAATGATTAAAAATATCACAGAATCACAAATATATCACATTCTAAACCTTTCTTCATCTGTGATGTGATTCTCTAGCATTTAATATTGTTCCATTTGTCCTACGGACGCAGGGGTCTATACCACCAAATTTAAAACCTGCATTGCGAAAATCAAAACAAAACTTGAAGTTATTTGAGCTGTTACCTTGGACATTTATACAATGGTGAATTAAGATGGATGACTGTAAATATCGTGTTCTCTACAAACAAATTTGCTTGTCCGTTGAGGTTTGACATGTCTACTCGGAGTTGACGCATCTTTTCGTGATTGGGAGTAAATGGCGTGTATTTGACCAAGCGTTGATTGTTTTTTATTTGAATTATTATTCATTTGAAAGATGAAGCACTCAAGGCGAGTTGGGAGTCACATCTAGGTACTCACGAATATCGTCAGTGTATGACTTCAATCGGGGCGGAATGGCTTACATAAACTGTAGGTCTTTATAACTGCTTCCTGCAAGGTAATGCACTGCTTTTATCAAAACCTGTCACTATGTTGCGCACATTTACCGTTGTGCGTGTATCTGGTAAACACTTTTCAGACTAGATGACATGTGCCTGGTAAACCATTATCAGAGTGGATGCCATGATGGCTATATTAGGATTCGTATAGACACCAAAGTTTTTGGCGTGTTACTCAATAATAATAGTAATAGGAATAATAATAACACAAACGTAACTTTATCTAAATCATTGTTACAAATATAATTACACACACACACATATATGTATGTATAAATTGAATTGTTTTTGACGACTTCATAAAGGGTTATCGTCAAAAAACAAACGTTACAACAGTTTTTTTTATATGCACAAATCCCTTTCATAAAAAATAAAATAAAAAAATAAATAAATCTCCATAGACATGCAAACTAGACGAGGGTTAATACATCTTCCGTTTAAAGTTTAGACACCACTACCTTTCCCTGACTTGACATCTATGAAAGTAACTCTATATTGATACTTATTATTAACACCCAACACTCGCCTACCCAATTTAAACAATTCCCCCTAGCTGTTACCATGGAAATTTTGATTTCAATTTTTAAAACACGTAAATTTCAGATATACGTTATTCCAAAAAAAATTTCGCTTGAAGATGGAACAGAGCTTATTTTAACTCAATTTAATTTAAATAATTATAGTGAAGTTTTCGGCTCTTGTTTTGAAACATGAGACCTCTTATGTAGCGTTTTGGAATCATATTTTAAATAAATAATTATATTTATGCTCTACTTTTTGTATCGAGCACTATTTTTTTTCAAATAATAACTAAAATACTAAGGGACTTTGGATTATTTACCTAACCAGTTCCTTCCTATTTTCTATATATTTTCACACACACACACACACACACACACACACACACACATATATATATATATATATATATATATATATATATATATATATATATATATATATATTTAATAATTTCATTTCAATGTCGAACCCTCTTACTGACAGTGACTGTCTTGGCAGGCATGTCCTAATAGGGCAGGTCGATTTTACAACCGTGTTACCTTCTCACTCAATAATAATAATAATAACACAAACGTAACTTTATCTAAATTATTGTTACAAATATAATTACACACACACACATATATATATATATATATATATATATATATATATATATATATATATTTAATCACTTTATTTCAATGTCGAACCCTGTTACTGATGCTGACTGCCTTGGCAGGCATGTCCTAATAGGGCAGGTCGATTTTGAAACTGTGGTATTACACTCGATTTATAAAGGTGGGGTTTGACATTATAAATAATAAAACAAAATATTTTTTTCACAAATTGTTACCACTTTTTGACAAAACGAGTTTAAACATTAAGTTTAGGATCAAAATTGTAACGTTATAATTTCATTCCGGAAATCAGTGAATGTCTTATAGCAAAGCCTTATGCAATTTATAATTTAAATATATGCACTTAGTTGTTTGCAGTTAAAAGGGAAATAAATTCCATAGCCAAAAACTGTATATCTTCAATTTAACAATATTATGATGTAATATATTATAGAGTGTAGTATAGTTCGTGCCATTTTCAATAAACATAACAAATTTAAAACATTTGGTTTTATAATTTGTTCCCCGGAGTGTTATGGTGTTATGTACAATTTTATCTATTTTTTTAATTAATTATTATCTAACAAATGGTGTAAGATTTTATTCATTGACTAGCTTTGTTGTAATCTTTTAGAATATCGACATAGTTTCCACTCATAGAATACAGTAAAAATTGCATATATTCCTTGTGGCGATTCATAGTAGAATTCTGGTTTTAATATATTTTCCATTCAATGTCTCTAATACTAAACATTTCAACTTTATTTTACATATTCTTGAAACAGTTAAATGTTGAAGTCAGTCTGTAAACAAAAACCGGCGGAAATTCTGTATTTCTGAACATTTTTCTCGGGCGATATTTAAAACTAAATGCTCAAGGGTTGGTAAAAGATATAAATCAAACTTCTGGTGTCAATATTTATCACATAAAATCCCAGCTTTTTACCAAGTGCAATGTTGATTTTCTAAAAAAAAAAAATTCAAAAAATATCCACCTACCAAATGTCCCAACATAGAAGATTGTCTTCCTAACACCATTCCACTGTGTAGACATTGCTCCCTCGTAAGATAAGTTTTCTAAATATCATGAATATACCTATCTCCTTACCTGAGTATTATGAAATCATTTATAGAAGCTAACGGATTGGGTACCAGTCTTTTAGAGCTTCTACAGTCAGAAACCATTACGCAGGACGAACGACCAAAATGTATTTACAAAGCCAAAGACTGAACACAATAAACCTTTCACGCACGAAAGAATTGAATTAATGTTATAAGTTCATGATAAGTTTCATATTAGCTACATGATTTTCACACAACTTTAGCGTTTCGCTCTAATAATTTAATCGGTATTTACTTTCACACTAATATTCGTCCTATATACTCCGTCGTGTCCCGAATTAATTGTTAAATCACACAGTTTTCCTCAGATTGTTTTAATCTATGGTTGTTAGCTGAATAAAAGAAATCTATTTTTGTCTGGTAACATGACTATCATCCAAAGATTCTTAAAGTGACAATCCCTTAGTGGCCGCTATATAAACTCAGTAGAGCAGGCAGTGTTCAACGGAATTATGGACTGCACTATAATTTTAACAGGCACACAGATAATTTAACTTTTTGATTCCACACCGGGACAAGTCTCAAAAAAATTATATACGTATTTCTTCATCATTTCTCAAAATTGTTGAACTTTTATGTCTAAATGCAAAGTCCATTTGTATACGAAGCAACAAACCTTAAGCTCAGGTCTGGCACCTTTTATGGTCATATAAAGTGACCGTTTCATAGCTCTACCCGGCATAGCTTAACTTCCGGTGAATAGTTATTTATTCGTACGTTGGTACAAAATGTGGCACAAGGCCAAAAAAAGGGAGTTGGGGAGGGACGGTCTTCTTCTGTCTTAATTCTAAACTTAGCTAGTCAAAGACACGGACCCAAACATACTAACAATATTCCTATCACCAAAACAACACATTCACTCCTACCTTTCTTACTAGGTCCACCATAATACCCCAAATGAAATCCTAACTAGTCCCCATATATATATTTCA